CTTGGCGAACAATTATATTGTAAGAGGCAATACTAACTTCCAAACTGTCGGTTAGATACAAGGATGACTATTTTGTCATCTGGCCTCATGGTAAGGAAAGTTTAGATAGTTTTCTACTTTCACTCAACCAGCGGAAAAGGAACATTAGGTTCACAATGGAAATGGAAGAGAATAAGTCCTTACCCTTTTCTGGATGTTCTCATCATTGAAGAAGAGGGTAAGTTAGGAAAAGATGTCTATAGGAAGCCAACATATGTTGGCTCTCTGCTTACTTTTCTTTCCAACCATAGTTACAAGACTAAGGTTGGAATTTTGAAGTCAATGATTATTAGATTAGAAGTATGAGGCTAGAGTATAGGAAATATTTGACTAGAGTTGGCTGACAAATGTATTCCTGGAAAATATTTATCCTTTGAGCCTTATTGAGAATAATATCTCTTAACTGAGGAATATATTTTCAGACGGAGACCATTTAGTCAAAGATAGATAGGCTGAGACCTTTCCCTATGTTCTAATTTTGCCGTCTTGCAAAAAGAATTGGCGAATTAGTAAGAAAGTGAAGGATAAAAGCAGTATTCAAAAAAACTTTAACACCTTCTGCTATGCTATCTTTTATAGAGAAATATGAGCAATTATTGAGATCCAGCAACAAGATTATTGACTCATGTGATCGATTTTATGTTGATGAGACATGCCGACCTATTCTATAAAGATTAGGAGAATACAAAAATGCTTATAAAGGAGCTGGGTCCAGCGGTCAGAAGTAACCGAACACATGGTAGAAACTAGACATGAAATATAATGATCTCAAACTAGTAGATTTGGTGATTATGGTGCGTCTGTGGTTAAAAGAAAGATAAGATAGCTTAGAAAATTCGTTGAATGTGAGGAACGGTGGTAGAAAGTTGAGTAGGAACTACTTATGCTTGATTGATAGATTGCAAAAGAGAGAGGATGCTGAGCCGCCATCCAAAAGAAGGCGACTCAATTTGTCGGCTTGGTGATGGTTTTAGCTTCACTTACACTCGTCCAACATGGTAGATTAATCTCATCAATCAAACCAGACGTACCAGATTACGCAGCCTTGGGGGGTTAAACGTTAATGACCCTAGACTGAGAAATTAGGACAAGTGGTTTCTTAACTTGACTTACATACTTACAATTCATATCTCATTATCTCATGCATTCTTGTCTACCGACATACGCAGTCTCGGTCAGGGCTTTCTATTGGGTCATAAGGCCTTTATGATCAGAGCCTGACATTAGCCTTTTGATAACTCTGATTTAGGACCGGTATTGCGTATGGACGCTAACACACACACACACGCACACACTCGAGCAAAAGTAACAGAACCAGTATGAAAGATAATTAGCCAAACCACTCAATATATATCTGGGTTTTTTATTTTATTTTGACTTAATTGAGTCAATATAAGATGTAAGATAGAGCCGGATAGTCATCTTGCCCTACTGTTAGCGTGAGACTTTTAGAGGAATGAGACCCAGCTCTGATGATGTCCATCATATGATGGACTAGAGCTCATCCCGTTTTGACTCGAAACGATGGAGGTCTCGTGTACTGCGTCAGTCTGAACTTCGTTCAAAGCCAAACGGCTGCAGTACAATGGGATTCATCCATCCTCTTCTAGTGAGATCGACCTACGAAAATATTCTTCATGCACTTTCATACCAAATGAAAGTCCCCCCAGCAATCTTATCTCAAGAGATTCATTGAAACCCAGTTTCTCTTCGTATCTGCAGAAGGAAGATAAGAGAGATTATTGAAATTAATAGATTAGTGAATGTGAGGAACGGTGGTAGAAAGTTGAGTAGGAACTACATATGCTTGGCTGATAGATTTAAGGAGAGAGGGTGTTGAGCCGCCGTCCAAAATAAGGGGACCCAATCTGTCTGCTCAGTGATGGTTGTGACTTCACTCCCACTCGTTCAACATGTTAGATTAAGCTCATCAACCAAACCAGACGTATGAGATTCCGCAGCCCCAGTCATGCCTTTCCTTAGGTGGTTAAACTTTAACGACCCTAGACTGAGAGATTGTGACAGGTGGTTTCACAACTTGGCTTACACACTTTCAAGCTTATATCTCATTATTTCAATTATACCTGCTGGCAGACATACACAGTCTCGGTCAAGGTTTTCTTGGGTCATTAAGCCTTGATGACCAGAGCCTGAGATTAGCCTTTTTATCACTCAGATTTAGGGCCGGCGTTGCGTATAGAAATTAACACACACAAACACGAAAAAGTGGCAGGACTAATACGAAAGATAATTAGCTAAACCTTTATATCACTCTAGGTGTTTTAATTTTCGTTTGTTTAATTGAGTCTATATAAGGGATTAGATAGATCCGGACCTAGTATTGACGTGAGACTTTTACAAGAATGAGTTTCATCTCTGATGATATCCATCATATGATGGGAAAAAGCTCATCCTGTTTTCCCCCGAAACGAGGAAGGTCTCGTGGAATACGCCAGCCTGAACGTCTTATTAAATCCAAATGGCTGCAGTACAACGGGATTCAGTCGTCGTCTTCTGGCGAGATCAACCCACGAATCTCTTCTTCATGCATTCTTACACTTCCCCATCAATGTTATCTCAGAGGAATCATCGAAGCCCAGTTAATATTCGTATCTATCTATATACGACCATTGTTGCCGTATGTTTCTGTCTGCTACTTATATTCATCAGTTCACAGGGTCCAAAGTGAATTTTAAAGGCTGTGCGCATAATTCTTGAGATAAGCTCGGTAATAAAAGGCGATTGGCACGATTTTCGCTGTCGTGAGCATATGGTTTATATTCGCATCAAGTCTCGAAATTATCAGCAAATCTTTAATAAGAATTCTAGCCATCATAGGTCGCATGTAATGAAAGTCCGATAGTTGAATTTTTCACAATGCCATCATTGGGCCTAATGTTTTCATTTAATTTAACTTCACTTTACCTTCAAAAAGATATTCTTGTCCATGGTGAACTGTAATTTCGACCCCACCCATTAACATCCTTAGCGGAAATCCAACCTGAATGGTACAGCGTATTAGTTCAACTTGTTGTACATATGTAAGTATTGATTAGTCACGCGAAGTGATCAAAACTATCTTTAAATATATTAACCCTATTTCCTTTAAGATGATGGAGGACTGGTAGTTGAATTTTCCCATAATGATATGAGTAGTGATGATGCTTCCATTTAATTTCGCATAGCCTGGTGTTCTCATCCAGGGTGGACTGCATTTTCGAACTCGCCTAGGTCTCGAAACCCTACCTATAAACGAAAAACTATCTTGTCCAAATTGCTTAGTAGCGTGCTCAGCCAGCAATTTTGTCATTTACCGTTTTTCGATCGTACTTTTGTGTTCCGAAATTTGCTTTGGTCTACCAATGTGTCACGAATGACCTCAAATTGGTTCCAATGCACACCAAATTCATTGATCCTGAACAAGCCTTTAATCTAATCCTACTCGGGGGTAATCTGAGGATAATTAATGTTGTTCTACAAATAAATAAGAAGACTTTCGATATGTTTCAGAAAGTATATCAGATTTGTGTTACACAGGGAGGCTGCAAGAGCAGTAAATAAAACATGCCGATAGAGCGTGTAGAATACACAGCAGACTGATAAAAATGCCCTTCTTTACTGGACTAATCAAATGAATGCAAGCTTCAGAAGGCTTGTGTAAAATAGGTCTGTTTCACTTACCCTCTAAAATTAATAGGATTTTATTTACAATTTAAACACGTTCATCTCAATGCTTATAGACGTGTGTTTGCAGGAATGTGGGCATATACATGTAAACATGTAGATTATCATAAAGGCATATACATCTTTATATTTCATACTGAGTAAAAATGATAAAGAGGAGGTCGTTATCCGAAATTGCAGCATTTTACTACAAAAGCTGGTGTCATACGAAATGGCGGAGATTGCAGAAGGCTAACAGATTGAAGTTTTATTTTTAGTAGTATTCGACAGATCAGTTTTATCCCATGGAAACACTTAAAAGCGTGATCCAGAATCCTGATCGCGCAAAGAATTCTAATCAGGGAAAATGGACCAATATACACTGAAACTGAATCCATTTTAAAGATTCGCTAATATCTGGCGAAGATTGCCAACAAAATCGCGCAAGTGAATCTTCCAACAAAGAAGAATTCAAGAATATGGACATGATCCACCATTAAAAGAATATTTGTCAGACGTTATAAACTATTCACATGCTTTTACAGATCATTTAGTTAAGGATTAGTAAAAAATGAGTGCTTTAAAAGATAAAACATTTTGAAGTAAGGTACATAAAGAATAGATGCAGCAGCAGGAAGGTGAACCAATTCATTGAAGGGTGCCGCAACAGAGACCCAATGGCATATACATTGAGCACTGCGGGGGTTGCATATGGATTCTTCCCCTCATCCCAGGACTGTGGGCAGACATCGAATTGAAGCTCGTCATCGGTCATCTCAAGAAGCAGAGAGGCGCCTTCGTCTGGCATCGAAGACTCTGCAGTCTGTATTTTATCACATTTGTTGCCGCGGCCACGTGACATCACATAATTGTGAAAGCTAAGCCGTTTGTAAACCCAACATCGGAAGTTGTAGGTCACCTTTCACAAAGCGAATGAGGGGTTCGGAAATAAGATAAAGTGAAAAGCAGTTATATATTGGTAAATAAGTGCTAAAGTATCTTACCATAGTATAAAGACAGTCCTCCTCAAGCAATTATCTACCGGGGTAGCTCATTAAATAATACTTCGTATATTCCATATTCGATGGTTATCAAGCTCGATTAATTCGGACAAGCCAAAGGGGAGATGAAATAAATTCACAAGCCACATGTAGACAAATTATATTAACAAAGTTTTGAAAATTCTTGGTGGTCAGAATTCTGAAACGGGACAAAACTATTAAACTAGTGCTACGTCTATAATAATAATAATAAGGGATAAAACTTATACTTAAGAGTGTAAAAGTGTGCAGGTATGCTTCTAGCATTACAGTAAGTGTAAAAATTCAAACAATGACAGAAAAAAGTCGGCCACGAAAGAAGCCTTCAATCAAATCTTCTTAACAGATAGCCTTTTAGGTTAAGAAGAGTTCAGACTGAGAGCAAAGCCAGGTTACTTAATCAGGTTATGATGAAGTGGAGGGCAGAATAAGATTCGCTTGAGCCCAGTGATTAGCAATTTTTCCATAACGTTACTTATGCTAGTAATGAATGTCAAGCTAATAGTGCTTCTTACTTAGCAATAGTTTGGACATATTAATTGCACATTTTTACATTACATAGGGAAAAACAAAACGAATATAAGATCGAAGGTATGAAGACCAAGATGGTGTGGCCTTTTGTGTGGTCGCATTCTCCTTGCGTTGTATAGAAGTTGTTTGACCTCGTTTTCGCAACTCGTTCATATTGGTAGGAAGACTTAGAGGAGCGCACCTTGTCCGGAGTCCATTGTATGCATAATCATTTCCAAA